TGTATTTTCATTGTTAAAAAGGGGTCACAACCCACAGGGGTCGCAACCCCCTGCTAATTAATAAGGACAGTCCCCAAGTCTCATGATCTGGCTCTCCCAAGAAGGAAGGGCACAGTAACAGTTTGTTGTAGTGGCCCAGGGGAAAGCAGGGGGACTATTTTGAAGATCAGGGTGCTGATTTTTATAGATAAGTTGTTTTTTATTTGTTCATTTGTTAAAAAATTAGTCCCTTTCATTTTGTGGTCATCCTTGGGAAAGGGCATTGATATCACTGATGAAGCCTGTGTTACTCAGCCTCTCATAACCCAGAGGTTTGGGTTCAATTCTAACACAGCTGCCTCTTGTACTGCTACCATCCCTTCCTCCTCTTCCCACTCCTCAGACTCTGGAAGACACCTGGAGTAACAAGTCTGAGTGGCTGATAAAAGGCAAGGAGGAAGAAACTCCATTGCCAAAGCTAGTTCCAGGACTTAGGCCCTGAGAGGATTTCGCATTTAAAATGTAGGCCCCAATTTGTTTGTTCATGTATATGTGTGTGTATGTATGTATGTATTCATTCATTTTTGGAGACAGAGTCTCGCTCTGTTGCCCAGGCTAGAGTGCAGTGGCCTCAGCCTACCTCGAGTGATCCTCCTATCTCAGCTACTTGAGTAGCTGGGACTATAATCCCTGCCACCAAGCCTGGCTAATTTTTCTATTTTCTTTCCTTTTTTTTTTTTTCTTTTTGAGACCGTCTCAGTTTATCACACTCAGTAGAATGTCGTGGCAACATAGCTCACAACAACTTCGAACTCTCAGGCTCAAGCAGTTCTCTTGCCTCAGCCTCCCAAGTAGCTGGGACTACAGGTGCCCACCACAACACCGGGCTATTTTTAGAGATGGAGGTCTCACTCTTGCTCAGGCTGGTCTTGAATCCGTTAGCTCAAGCAATCACCCCACCTTGGCCTCCCAGACTGCTAGGATTATAGGCATGAGTCACGGTGCTTGGCCTATAATTTTTCTGTTTTTCTGTTTTTAGTAGAGATGGGTCTCACTTTGCTCAGCCTGATCTCAAACTCCTGAGCTCAATTGATACGCCTCCCAGAGTGCTAGCATTACAGGTGTGAGCCACCTCGCCCAGCCCCAAACTGTCTTAAGCCCACAAACATATTGTATTAGATGCCATAGTGTTTGAAAAACATTTTAAATAAGTTGCCAACATCTAAAAATTGAAGACA